GTGATTCCTGCTGAGTCTACTGGTTCTGACATGATCCTGTAGTTTCCCAGCGTATGTGCCTGGATCATCTGTGGATGTCCACTGTGGGCCCCATCCATTCTGTGTTGGCTTGAGATAGTCGAGGGAGTGACGTGCCAGGGCATAAAGGGCTTCATATCCTCTACTTTGTTGAGTGTATTGAGATATCAGGCCTCGAAGGAGGAGGTGTCCAGCGGGGAGGATACGTGAGAGTCGGCGGTAGATGTATGCTCCTATTTTATCGATATTTTCTTTTGTCTCTCCATGGTTTGGTGGGAGACATGTTGCAAGTTCGGGGAGGTCATCCAGTGCTACCAACGGGAGACTTTCCAGTTGCATCATACTGTAAAATTCATTGTAGAGTGCTGTGAATTCTGCGGATGTAAAGTATCGGTTGGTGGTTGGGATGAGGTTGGGGTCAAAGTCTTTGAAGTCCATTGCATGAATTGCCTTGCTAATTCGATGATTGTGGTAGTGAGCGGAGTTCTTGTCCCAGATTTTGTGTTTACGATCAGTATATGCATCAAATTTCCTGTCACTTTCACATCTTTTGTCTTCGCTACGGATGTTGTCCCAGTCGGTAGTTCTATTTGTGTTGGTGTGCGAGTGAGTAGACCATGTGTGTATGTTGTTTTTATTTTGTTTTTCCTGTTGTTTGGTGTTGGTTGTGGTGTTGTCATCCGAGCTAACCATGATATCTTGTACATGATGATTGATGAGGTCTTTTAGGTCAGTGGAGTGTGTTACATATGTATGAATAGTATTGTCAATATCAGCTTGAAAGTCTTTCGAGGATACTAGGTGTTTGATGGAGGAGGATATCTTGAGTTGAATCATGCTATCGATGGATGGGTCCGTGGTGATATGGTCCTTAACCGAGCGAGTGATATCGGTTTCCGCTATGTGTTTTGTCAAGGCAATGGTCTCCTGGGCCTCGGAGGCTGAGCGGTCGACCTGCATTGTTATATCCTGTTTGTGATTAGTAAGTTTAGTGATGTGGTTCTCGCAGAGTTGTTTGAGGTGATTCTTTGTCTTTGTGAGGTCCTGGTGCATATCCTGTATGGTGTTTTCTGCTTGAGAGGATATCTCGCGTTTAGCCTGAGAGATTACAGTATCCTTTAGGCTTTGGACTATGTGTGCTTTGTGTTCAAGTTTGTCCTGAATTATATTTTGAACTGTTGCATCCATTGTCGCTTCCATTTGTCTGGTTTGCTCGAGTACTGCGGTCGTAACTTGAAACTCAATTTCTTTTGCCTTTGTCTTTAGGTCTTCGGTGCTCTGCTTGACTATTTTGTTTAGTTGTTCAGTGATTTCAGCTGAGATTATGGTTGGGGATCGTGTTGTGGTGATACTGCTTGCTTCATCACAAAGGTGTTTGAGGTTAATTGTCTCGTTCTTGATGGAGGATAGGACAGTAGTTGCCTTGGATGTACGTTGATCAAGCGCCCATGTGGTATTAGCCGCTGCATCCAGGGTGTTCTTTAGGTCTTGTTTGAGGGACAAAAGGCCTTGGATGTCTGCAGTTTGTGCTTGAAGTTGTTCTTTAAGAGCATTCACCGTTGAAAGTGCAGTTCGAAGATCTTGGGTGGCTTCTTTGAGTTCTGTTTGTGTGGCTTTCAGTTCATCTTTGGTGGTCTGCAGTTTATCTGTGGTGGAGGCGATGACAGATTCATATCCTGCTTGGAGTTGAATGATCCTGGTATCCAGTTGTTGAAATTGGTCATTCCATCTGGTCTCATTCGTTTGCTGGAGCCGTTCTGTAGGGTTGGGTTGCTGATGTGGCTGGGTTTTGGGGTTGAGGCTGTCTTTGATGGATTGTATTTCAGTGTCAATCGTATTATACTGCTTTTCATACTGAGCTATCTTTGTGTCGATATCGGCAGTACCAGAGCTTTCTTCCTCTATATCGTCGTGACCACCAGTGGTGATGTCATCATCATCGATGGGGTCTGTGAGGTGTCCTGATGAGGATTCGTCCTGCTTGTTTTGCCGTTCTTTGGCAAATCGTGTAAGGAGATCCGCAGGGGGTATTCCAAGTGAGTCCGTCGATGAAACTGATGTGTTTGTGACACTATTGTTGTCCCGTTGCTCTCGGTCAAGGTCCTCTTGAGTGGGAGGATCTGGGCTGTGATGTGGCTTTTCATTGGTCTGAGGAGGAGTATCCGCAAGGTGTGCTGGGGGTTTGGAGTTGCGTTTGGTGGGTATTGCTTCTGGTGGGGTCTCCAATTGTGCTGGGAGTACCGATTCCATGTATTCAGTGAAGGCTTTGCTGTATTGGTATCGGGAGTCTTTATCGACTATGCGGAAGTGATTTTTATGTAGCAGTTCCTGGAGAATTTCTCCCAGGGCTGTTAGTTTGTCGGTGCTGTTAAGATTCCGGGTATGTAAGACACTTAGGTGTGTCATATAGCTCATGTCGGAAGGGGGGTAGCGAGGTTTGAATGCAAAGAGGCTGTCATCGTAAATTGCCGTTGTTGACCGGGGGGGAAAGACCCGTTCAAGGGCTCGCAGTTCCCTCTGTATGGTACCATCGTATGGTGTCAATTGGAGTTTCGGTGTGGTTCTGGTGGCTGCTGGTGGTGTTTTTACGAGGTATTTACCGATTGTTGAAGTTCTGGGTTTTGGTGCTGTTGATTTACGTGTGGTCCGGCTTGGTGTCGGTAGTTTCTTCCTTCTTGGTGGTGGTGGTGCCATTGTCCTTGTTCCGCTGTTTTGTGTGTTGTGTTGTTGCGGTTAGTGGTGGTTGGTGGTGACACCAGTGTTCGGAGAATGAGTACCGTAGGCTTCTACGTGATTTCTGTACTGTATTCTTCGGCGAAAAGTGTCAGAGCTGTCGGGGGTGACTGTTCTGATGATTGTCTGTCTAGTGAAGCTTGTGGTATCGCTCCGCGTTAGTCATAGACTTGTAGGGAAATCAGTCCTTTGTTGTTGATGATGGTGATGAGTTGAGGTTTGTCTCTTGTTGCTCATAACCTGCGAATGTGTACATGCTCTTTAGTGTGGTATAACTACGTGTTTACAATAAAGAGTGAGTTGAGTGTTGAGTGTATGCGCTGTTTGCTGTCACTCACTATTCACTCGTGATTTACTACGTGGTATAGTCTCACACGTCTTGCGTCCGTCCCGTTCGTTCGATAGACATCAGACCATGTTGTACAGTACGTACGTACGTATGTACGTAGGTATCTGGTACGCATGGCGTACAGACAGATGAGGTGAGCTCTTGACGCGATTCAAATTTGAACCTCTCGTGACTGATTTACAGAGTCTTTAAAATTTACGATTCAGGATTCGCATTGGAAATCGTACGTGTACGTATGTATTAAGTAGTAGAAGTACGAAGTATTACCGTATTGAAAGTTTATGAGCTTGCGTGGCTTTCACAGAGTTTCACGTAGCCCATAATNAAACTTGTATGTTATCTGGAATGAATGGGAGTGTGGCTTTGCAGGTAACAAACCAGCAAAGAGCTTCACTGCAGCTGAGAGGAACGCCAAGGAAAACAAGTTCGTGTACTGCAGAAGGAAGCCCTTTTGGCGATGCATTGAAAGAATCATAAGGACGAGGTCTGGTAATGCTCAAGATGCCATCAGCACTGTTTACACTGTATACAGGCAGGAGAAGACTGTAACAAAGATCCTGAAGGCTCTTGCCAAGCATGAGAGGGAAGGTGGACACGCGATGTTGAGGTACTAGCTTGCTGCTGGTTGATTGATGCGTTGCTTCGATTCGTTGCTTTGCTTCGATTCGTTGATTCGTCGATTCGTTGCTTTGCTTTGATTCGTTGCTTTGCTTCGATTCGTTGCTTTGCTTCGATTCGTTGCTTTGCTTTGATTCATTGCTTTGCTTCGATTCGTTGCTTTGCTTTGATTCATTGCTTTGCTTCGATTCGTTGCTTTGCTTTGATTCGTTGCTTCGGTTGCTTTGGTTGCTTCCATTGCTTCAGTTGCTGCATTGTTGCTTGGATACGGACACGGACGCGTTGCTTCGATTCGTTGATTCGGTTTTTGCTTCGATTCGTTGCTTTGGTTGCTTTGGTTGCTTCGATTGGTTGCTTCATTGCTTTGTTGCTTCGGCGGTTGCTTCATTGCTTCGATTCGTTGCCTCGGTTGCTTCATTCATTGCTTCATTGCTTCGATGCGTTGCTTCGATGCGTTGCTTCGCGATGCGTTGCTTCGATGCGTTGCTTCGATGCGTTGTTGCTTTGATGCATTGCTTTGCTTCATTAAAATAGTATTAAGTGTGACTGCTTTTTCTKGTTAGTAGTATCATTAGTAGTAACTGTGACTGCTTTGTTGCTTGATTGCCTCAACAAGAGGAGCAAGTTGAATAGCTGATAAGAAGATGGCGCTGCCATTGTCGTGACGTGATATTGTCGAGAATTACCTTCAYGATTTGTGTTTATTTCACAGAATTTGCCTTATCGAAAATTGTGTCAGTAATTATTCTCAACTGATGGGCATCAGTTGAGGTTTTCGATACTGTGCTGGTGAGTAGGATAATAGCGAAGTGTACGTATGTAGACTTGTACATGATTCTCTACTGTTGCATTTTTTGTTGCATTATGGTCTTATACCCCCACGGTACGTATGTATTAAGTAGTAGAAGTACGAAGTATTACCGTATTGAAAGTTTATGAGCTTGCGTGGCTTTCACAGAGTTTCACGTAGCCCATAATAGTTCGCGTAACTCGTACGTAGTAGCTCATCAACATACAGTAAGATGAGCGTGGGCTACTTGTACGCTAAGCTACGTACTCGTACTCGTACCGCTACAGTAAGTTCCTGTTCTCATTCACGGCCACTCAGTTGTTCCTTGTGACGACGAACCGAATACTTTTTTCGTGAGACGTGAACGAAAACAAAAAAAAGGTTCTAACGAGTATCGTACGTAATGTACCCTACGCTACTAGTGATTGTTCAGGCGGACTGTCTCAACACATAAGGTYATTATCATATTATCATATTCCAACTCGCTGAGATTCAACCAACTTCGGTATCTATTCAGTGCCCAGTCAGCAAACGAATAACATCATGTCTCTTTTGGAACCCCCCGCCACGATTACCAGACTCCTCCAGGAAAGCTTCCCCGATTCGGTAACCTCGACGTCGGATGGTGCTCAATGGAACGCGAACGAGGACATCCTATCGTACGTGGCCTTTTTGGCGGCGGGAATGGCCGACGTCAAGGAGTTCTCGCAGGAGGCATGGAAGGAACAGCTTTCACCCTACCTCGAGGGCATCAAGGAAGTCGGTGGTGATGAAATCGATGCCTTCCGCATCTTGGTGGCAAAGGAAGTTCTTGGAGAGGACGATGAATCCTACGGTGACGACGACGACGACGACGAGCACGAAGAAGTATGCAACCTGAGATTCAAGTAAGTTACGGGTTGTTTTGGGTTTGTTAGAGTCGAGTCAACACACGCCATGATCCTCTTTTGGATCTGAAAAGCAAAGCCAACCGAAAGACAAGAATCTCACTTTTTTCAATTGTAATCAATACGATACGTATAACCGTAACGTAGCCTCGCTTACGGAGGAAAAATTCTGCTGCGAGAAAGTAAGTTGCGTTTATTGCGAGGACGTCGTTATGCGATTGTCGGAGGAAATGGTGTAGGAAAGACAACTTTGATGAATGCCATCAACAACGGAAAACTCGAAGGATGGCCGCAACATCTAAAAACGGCATACGTGGATTCCGGATCGAATGTTGATCCTGAATACGAACGTCAAAATGTGATGAAACATTTGATTGAAGACACGAAGCAATCCGAAGAAACCATCATTGCCAAAATGAAAGAACTTGACTTTACAGACCAAATGATTCGGGGAACGATCGGAGCTTTGTCTGGAGGTTGGCAAATGAAACTGAGATTGATCCGAGCCATTTTGATGGACCCCGACATCTTCCTTTTGGACGAACCGACCAATCACTTGGCGGAGGGCGCCGTCAACTGGCTTACGGACTACTTGTGTGGCCTAGATCACCAAACTGTTCTCTGTGTGTCGCACGACACCACGTTTCTCGAAAATGTTTGCACGGATATCATCCACTACGAACAACGTTCCGTGTGGGGGCCGTACCGTCGACTAGTCCATTACAAAACTAAAATGAGTGGTTTTGTCAAACTCCAGCCCCAGGCCAAGCACTACTTTGAGCTTGCGACAAACGATGATGGACTGAAGTTTGACTTCCCACAACCCGGTCGTCTCGACGGTGTCAAGACGTCGACGCAAAAATTCCTCGAGATGGAACACGTCGACTTTCGTTATCCCGGTGCTGAAAAAAATCAGCTCACTGATGTCAACCTTAAAATGAGTCTATCAAGTCGCATTGTTATCTTGGGTGCAAACGGTGCTGGTAAGACGACGCTCCTCAAAATGATTGTCGGTGAGACCGTTCCTTCTAATTCGGGCCGCTTCTATGTGCATCCCAATCTTCGCATTGCGTACGTGGCTCAGCACGCCTTCTCGCACGTTGAAAGGCACATGGAAGAGTCCCCGGTTGCTTACTTGCAGTGGCGTTTCAGGGATGGATTTGATAAGGAAAAGCTAGAGTCCGAGGCGTACCGCATCACCCCCGAAGAACAACAGGCTATCGATGACTTTAAGCTGGAAGGCATCTGGTCTCGCCGCATGCGAGGTGGTGTGCTCGAGTACGAAGTCAAGAAGAAGAACGTCCGTGAAAAGGACAACAAATATTACTCCCGCGACGAACTGTTGGGAATGGGTTTCGAGCACCTTTTGAAACAAACCGATGAGAAAATTGCCGCGAAGGAGGCCGGTCTTGATTTGAGACCAGTTACCACCTCGGAGATCCAGAAGCATTTGAATGGCTTCGGCTTGCCTCAAGAGTTCGGTACATATGGAAAGATCCGTGGTCTTTCCGGAGGTCAAAAAGTCAAGTTGGTTTTGGCGGCCGCATTTTGGACCGTGCCGCACTTGGTTGTATTGGACGAACCTACAAACTTTTTGGATCGCGAGGCTCTTGGTGCACTTTCTGCTGGTTTGAACGAATGGGGTGGAGCTGTGATCATGATTTCGCACAACCGCGAGTTTTATTCTTCTGTTTGCAAGGAGGAGTGGCACGTAGCCGGAGGTGTTGTCCAGATCCAGGGTGAATCCGAAGAACGTGAAATGAAGGCTTTTGCACGCAAGAAAAAGTTTGAAAAAGAATTAGACGGAAATGATAAGCTAGAGAAAGCCGGTGGAAATATGAATTCCAACGGCGACAAATACAAAGAAGCCACTGTCAACTTTTGGGGAGCCACGGTCTCAAAGAAAGAAGCTCGTGCCTATGAAAAGGCTAAGAAGAAGGGCAATGTCGCAGCCATGCGAAAGGTCTTGCAAATCCCACCTGGAAAGGTCATGCCTGGGTACGAGGAGCTTGGCGATGGAAATGATGCTAAACAGTAGATCTATTTTCTATTTATAAACAGGAGTGTGCTTAACATATCAAGAGACTTCTCTTCTCTAGAATCTTTATGTCTTAAACTGGCTGGCGTAACTTACGTTTTCTTCAGTAAATTTCATTCTTGATATCCTAATATACTACAGAATACTCAATGCATACATCGATAATGAGCAAAGATGGGAATAAATCAAGTGTCTCAACTTATCCATTCGTTCGAGCTTTGGTACACTGCATCGGAATCATTGAGTTCTTCTTGGGGTCCTCTGCTCCCATCGGCATGCTGTCCATTCGACATCRTTTGGTGGTGCCCACCACTCCTGCCATCACGTTCGAACTGTGTCTCGGACAATTCCGTGCCATCCATGGGTTGGTTTAATAGACGATTTAACAGCACAGCCCGTGCTCTATCAGAATCTGATTCTGGGTCATGTTTCACTGCCATGTAGGTCAATGCACCAAACACGAAAAGAGTGAAAACGATCGAAGAAGAAGTCATGGCCTTCAACTCTGCCTTGAATTGTGATCCAGTCTTGCTGACATTGTCCCATACTGGAATATTTTCAACAAGAGCGAAACTCACAGCACCACGAACACCCGCCAACAACAAAACCAATTGTGTCTTTCGATCGAGGTACTTTCGTGTGTGACTGCCCACTGAATCGTCATCGTCCGCCAAATTTATTCTTTGGAACGGGTTTACAGATTTTATACAGCTGCCAATCCGATTTTCAAAGTCTAGGAACACAGCAATATTCACCAAGAAACTCAGGCTAACAACCATGAAGAATCTACTGGAAACGCAGCTTGCAATCGCGGTGAAGATTAGCCTGGAATTCCATTCGTTGTCTTTGAATAAAAAAAGTCCAAGGTATGCAAAGATAGCCGTCTCCATGATCATAGCAACAACGTGGGCAAGAAAGCCCACGTGGTTGCGTGATGCATCCAGAATGTGACCTTTTCCCGAAAAAGCATCTTTTAGAACTCGGTTCAACTGATTTGAAACAGAGTTATAGTTTCTCGTGTTCTGCATTGTGGCATTTTCGTGCTCTTGCTGTAGCACCTCCCTCCATGCATGTTGTTCTTGGTTCACGCCTCCGATGACGTAAAAATCTAGTATGAACCCCATCACCATGATGGCAATGATTCCCGAACAATGCAATCCGTCGGCAATATAGTATGGGATCAAGGACCAGCAAAAGAATATTCCCACCTCCGTGACAGCACTTTGTTTTTCTCGCAATGCCCAAAAATACAGTGTACAGCATATACCAACACCAGCTCCGATGGCAATCGATCCAAACAGAACAGTGGCAAAATGCATCGACATTTCCTTGTAGGCGTCGTTCCCAAGGGAATCCCCTTCACCAAGATGATCCTTGAGAACCTCAAAAAGGACAATTGCCACACCGTCGTTCAGCAGAGATTCGCCGAAGATGAGCGTATACAAAGTGTCGGTTTGTGCAATACCTACACCGCTCAAGATTGATAGTGTAGCAACCGGATCGATCGACGATATCAGGGATCCAAAAACGAGGGAATCAAGCCACGGAAGGTTGCTTCCGTTCGTTCCCAAATTGGAAACCCGATGGACCATCCAGCCAATTGCAATCGATGAGAAAGCGGTCCCGATTCCAGCAAACAGCAAAATAGGAAACAAGTCACGGCGGAAGGCCTTCTTGTCGATACTCAGTGCGGCTTCAAAGATTATAGGTGGCAGCATGATTTGCAAAAACAAATCGTTGTCGAACGACAATTTTGGTACCAGACGCGAATCCAGTAATCGCAACATGACACCCACAAAAGTTCCCACCAGAATAAAAGCACACGCGTCCGGAAGCCAATTGACGTCCCATTTCTTTAGCATGGCCTTGATCATGGTGCAGACCAGAAAGACGAGCAAAACCCCCAGGAGTTGCAGGCTGTGAACACCCGAATCGTGCTCGCAGTTGTTGTTGTAGTATCCCTTGATCGAATCACAGCATTCCCAATGCTCGAAAAAGTCATCGATGCCCACGTCATCCGTTGTCGAAGAATTGTCTTTATCGGCACTTTCAACCCCAAATATGTTGGCATGGGTTTCGTGTGCGCAATCGGCCGACCGATAAGCGTTGTAAAAGGCCTGGCATTGATCGTGGGAATCCGTCGTTCCGTTCAGAAAATTCATCAGAAAGCGTTTACAAGTCGCGGTCCTCGCGTTGTCGTCGTCCAGCGTTGGTTGGTCTGCGTCGACATCCGTGAGAAATCGGTTCGATGTGTTCCTTCTTGCGGGTGTTGTCTTCCTTCCGTCGTGCCACAAGACAACGGCAGTAAGAAACATGGCCATGAAGGCGACAGAGATTAGGGATGCCAAGTTGGACTTTCTCACGTTTCTATTTAAGCTGCCATTTCTGCCATTCTTGGCGCGGTTCTTCTCTATGATGAACATGATCGTTCTTCCTTTCACTTGAGGAAACGCGAAAACACTAGGATCGGACGGAGTGGTGTTGGTACTGCTCACAAGCTATTTCTTCAGGTGGTCTTGTTGCTGTTGATTTCTCTTGTGTCCGGTGGATACCTTGCCTCTGATCACAAGTCATGGGACGAGTTCCACTTGCTGTCTTGTTGGGTCTTTCGTTATGGAACGCTTGATAACAAACGTTTCTTGTCATCTAGTGAAAAACTGCGCCGTACAACTGCGTTGAAAAAAATTAAGGAAGTTTTTGTTCGTGTTTCCATTCTGTACAAACAGAGGAAAAGAACACCATCAAAATCGCAGTAGGGAAAACATACTATGGGATCTGAGGGAAACTAACTATAAACACACTTTTTTATGAAAAGTTTTTTTCTTCGAGAATCAGACAAGTTTGAAACTCCTGCACCACCACCACCACAACTGACGATGGTTGAATCAGCCGCCAACCATACGATGCGCCTTTTGCATTCTATCGGACCAACCGTGAAATAGGTTGACAAACAAAATGGTATCGTCGTTGAGGCCATCACCAGATACGGAACCGCCATCCGCAGCCAGCAAGAACAAACTAACGATATTGGATCGCAGCGTCAGKCCCGTACTCGAGAATCCTGATGAGACGGCGTCCAGGCAAGCCGGGGTCGATCCATACACCGAACGACTGCATAGATTCCATGGTACCTCCGTCGTATTCGAATGTTGCCGCGGATTGTCGCTCCAGCCCTCCACCTTCGCGACGGCGTGTACCATATTCCACAGGTTTTGTCACGCAACCTCGCTGACCGAATACGACGTCTGGAGCGTCGCCATGGCCAGTACCCTCCTGGCAACGAAAGTCGAAGACGAACCCAAGAGTCTCAAACAGTTTATTGAGGAGCATGCGAAAATCTATGCCCGGCGACTTGTTCTGGCTGATTTGTCGCGGCAGCAAAGTGGTAACAACAGTAGCAACAGTGAAAAGACTCTAGAAGATCTTGTGCAAGCGACGCCCCAGTTGGCCTTTCTCCGGAGCCCCATAGAAAAATGGAGGAAGGCTGAAGACAGGCGACGCGTTTGCGATACTCGCCTCCCCCAACAACTCAACAAATTCGGACCCGTCTACAAGGAATGGTACGAACAAATCACGAAAATGGAATCGATTCTGCTGCGACAATTGGGCTTCACGTTCCACTGGATCTCCGACTCGCATCCGCACAAATTTATTCTGAATTTTTGCCAGGCACTGGAACTACACGATGCGAAGGTATGTTGCGTGCGTTTGCTGGGCTGTGCATTATCATGGAGAAAATTTGTCGGCAAAAACCTTTCGCGATAACACTGGTTTCACCAAACGATCTGTTGTAACGCTTTTCCGTGAACTGATTGAATTTCTGATGCACTCACTCTCCTTGATATCTACGCACATGTAATCCCCGCATCTTTTTCTATCCAGTTTGCACAACGAGCTTGGGACTACTGCAACGATTCTTGTCGGCTCGATCTCTCGTTGCGCTACCTTCCAGAAATTATCGTAAGTCGTCTTTGTCCCTCGCCGTTTATTTAAGTTGCTGCTGATTGTTTGAATTCTCGGTTCTTCTCCTAGACGTGACAATTCACGCCGTGTGCCGTTCTGTGTCGTTTTTTATCGCACAGGCCAGCAGCTCGATTTTGCTGGCGGCTCGGGATTTCGATGCTGCGCTGCCAGTCGAGCCACGTCCTTGGTGGGAAGTCTTCGTAGGAAGTGAGACTGAGAAAGGACAGCAGGTGGTAGACGCAGCCAATGCTATCTTGGGGACCAGTGACTTGGGGACCAGCGATTTGCGATCGGGAACAGGAAAAGACCGGGGGGTATCTAACGAAGGAGAAGACGACGATGACACAAAATATCGTGTAAGCATGCTAGCCGCGTCCAAGGGCTTCCTCCGTTCCTTGGTCAATACGAGTTYTAATGGTGATGCCGAGACGAGCTTCAATGATCCAGACAGCTTTCTTTGGTTTTGTCAGAAAGAGATTTTTGAAAAAGAAATGAAAAACAATGAATGATCTGTTTTTAATTTGCTTCGTGCAAAAGAAGATGTTTGGTGATTTGTCTTTATGAATAAATTACTGTGGCACCTTGCAAGGCTGCTGATTGGTTGGTGCTCCAAATGTATGCGCAGAATGCCCTGGACTCCGGTCAGCTTCGCAAATTTACAACTATCAACCTGATAAGAAGCACAAGTACACCTACTAGGCAACGAATAAAGCAAAAGTGTACATGGTCTTTGGAAACTACCAATCCCACAGTTGGAATTTCTAGAATTGGGCCTTAGATATCTTAGAAGCACCCAATGTTGAATGCCAGATATTTTATGATCCAACTTTGCCACCCCAATAGATTATTAAAACGGAGGCGGAGTAACCTCTAATCATGCTGAATTCCTTTTCTGCCTAAATTACATGAGATTCAGAGAGCTACAAAGTATTGGTAAATGTTGCTATCAGTTAAGAGCACCTATTGCTCACCTCAGTAAGGCCTATTCTYACTATAAGGGCAGCATATTAGGTACCTTGCTTCCGATGAGCCTAACTTCTTTGTTTACAAGAACTATGGTATTGTGCATTTTCTCCACCTACTAGCTTTGTATGCAGGCAAGGGGCTCAGGAAAATTATCAGGAAGGCAGGTCACCAGCAGCTCTGAGTATGTGCTAATAGTAGTAGTAGTTGCAATCAAACTCATTATTATGAGTTGATGATTGTGATGATGATGCCAAAATTGATAATTGCATTCGCTCCAATATTCTTCCAATAAATATTGCTCCTCTTGGTGCTTAATACCGTAACTATTTATTGTCATCACAGGATGTGATATGCGAATGTTGTATGCATGGTATGGCATGTACTAGTAATTTACTCATTCTCATTCTAATCTAGTAGTACCAGTTAATTTGATATAAAATGCGTTAACCGTACAAAGCCTACTGCGCACTACTTGGAAAAGAAAGCACTTTTACTCAAACTGATTTACACCAAAAATTATCGCTAGTAGCATCATGGTTAATTTTGTTAATTTCGAAGCCCAGTATTTATTACTGATCCTACATAGATCTACTAGTATTTGGTCACTTTCTGACCGCAAACAGTGTAATAGTAGGACATTTAGAACTGCTCCGGTATGGCCTGAGAGCAGCTTTTCTTTCGTGAAAAGTTTCCTAATATTGTTGGGAAAAGCCCCATGTATCATTGTTACACAATTAAGGGCCAGGGGGGGGGTTCTCCATTAACACCTGGTATGGCCAAATTTGGCCAGTTCCAAGACCAGCTGCTGGTTAGAAAATAGGCCAGAACTCTATCAAAAAAACAACTTTAGACCACCAGCAGACTAAGCACCCAGACCAAGATGATACAATTACTTAGTGATCCAGGTCATTGGAATGCTTAAGGATGCTCTGGCGGCTTAGAACTAGTCTGCCAAAGTTACAGTAGTATTAGTGGGCCAAAATTATCCGTTAATTCTAGGTGTAATTTCATTACGAATTAACTGGTACGGTACAGTAAAAGAGAAAAAGTACTGTACTTCCGTACAAAAGTACTAATCGTAGAAAGCAGGTACTGTAATGTAGCACTAGAACTACTAAGTACGGGCCCCATAACGGCAAGTTATTGGCAATCCCCGTACAAATACTAATAGAAACTTTTAGCTCATTTTTACAGTTACTACTAAAACCAGTTAAAAAAGGCATCCAATGGATGAAAATAAAAAYATTTCCATTGTTTAATTTCTTGCTAGTCCCAAAATACTTCTATTAGTGGTCCTTAATACTTGAGATAAGCACTGATTTGATATTCCTACTAGTAGTAAGGACCAGGAATAGAAWTTTTTTCAGACTTMTTAGTTTTTTGTGTGGAGGGGGGGAGAGGGGAAATAAAGACGGGAAAATGAGAAAAAATTGACACCCGGGGAATTGCCAATAACTTGCCGTTATGGGGCSCGTACGGTACTTAGTAGCTCTATGTAGCACAGGACACAGGACCTGCCGAGCTGCGCGCGACGATAATTCGATTCGTGTATCGGGGTCTCACCATGACTTTTCCTCAGAACAATTAGTACCCGTTTTCTACGTCCGTTTTTACTTACTGTATTGCGAAATTGAAGCTTTTTAAAGTAGGGCACGTAGGGTCGTACTACTATCGAGGACTTTTTCCGTGTTGCTCTTTCTGTGTGAATTTCTTTTAGAGCCGTTGGGCCCACTGCTCCTACTGAACATCAAAGTCCTTGTCGTATCTTTCATCTCCCGCTATATTACCGTAATGCAACCAGCCGTTCATTCGGTTCGTAGATACTATCGAAGACAATACCCCGACCAGTTGAAAAGTTAAAACCGGTGATTCGTCTACCAATCTACAGTTTCCTATCAGAAGAGGCTTTTTGGACGCACCGTATGACAGGGAGGATGGCAGCGCCGGAAACGACGCCCTTTTCGATAAATATATCCTCTAGCCCTGCCGCTGCCTATGCTTCCAGGAATGGTAGTGTTGGCAACAAKATAAGCATGAAGGACGAAAAAACGAAAGGGCGGAGAAAGGTCTTTTTCTGGTCACAATTATCAGCAGCAATGGAATTGTTATGCTCAATAATTCGAATCGTAGTATTCGATTTATCGTTGTTTCTTTTTTTCACCCTGTTCGTATGTTCAGTCGTTGTGCACAAGTTACACGACGATTATTTCCATCCACAACTCCAACTTATGATGTTCAAACCAGAGAATCGACAATTTACTGATACAACATATTATCATAGGGCTTGTGAGCTAGATGATTTTACTGCCGAATCAGTCGAAGAATTGATGATTGAAGATCACTTTACGACAAAGGACGCCGAACAACACATGCTTGTTCACGGAGCATCAGTGTATCCAAATCTATTAACCAACGAAACAGCATCAGAATTACGGGAATGGATCGTGCATGAGAACCGTATCCGAGAGGGTTGGAATGTCATTGAAAACGAAAATAGATACACTTGGGGAATCGACATCAACATGCATCCCAAACTTCAGACCTACTGGCAAGAGCTGGCAGCCAATGACCAATTCCGCAATGGGTTGGAAGCCATCGTGGGGCCCGATCCGGCTATAATTGAATTCACCGCAATCACTAGCTCCTAYGGTGCGGAAGACCAATATATGCACGCCGACGTAATTCACCACGGAAGGTAAGAATGGATGAATGGAAATATAAATTAGCAAGTGTGGCAAAGCAGGTGATAGGTCCAAGCATCCTTCTTTTTTTTTTGGACCCTTGAGATACAGCTCGATTTCTCTACAGATTGCACTAACACAAAAATGTATGCATGTTTCACTTATAGTGCCGTGAAGTACGCCCGCAGTTTCGTGCCCTCGTATTCTCTATTTATTCCACTGCAAGACACAACCTATGAAATGGGTGCAACCCATGTCTGCCCGGGTAGTCATCAGTGTTCCGAAGCTGATGACATTTGTGACGACTATGGTGCATTTGCCGTGTCCGGAGAAGGTGGCGGAGTCTGGAAAATGGGAGATGGTGCTTTGTTGAATCAGCAGACATTTCACAAAGGAATGGGATATACACAAAAGGGAGGTCCCGACCGCGTTGTGCTCATGTAAGTAGCTGTAATGCACTGGTATATTTCGAAATCTCCTGTAATCAAGAAAGTATAATCAAACCAGACTCAAACTTCGACTTTCGTGTTTGCTACATCAAAAACAGAGCTACATTTGCACCACGGCCGAAGCATGGCAAAGGCGTGGAAASTCGTCAGATTGGTAAGTGCGAATTTCTTTTTTGGTGATTAAAGAAACGTAAATTGGATACAATCAGTGAATCGGAATTTTTCGATATTTTACATCGACTGATATTTGTCAAATTCATTACAAATAGGCCAAGGAGGTAGCTACAGCTTACTATGGAACCAGTGGGGGCACACCTTTTCGGATTTCGTCCATGCCGACAAACGTATGACAGAGCCTCAGAAGACTCTCCGAAGTCTTGGACTGATCAAGGGCAATGGTTGGAACTATTTGAGCACATTGAGTATGAGAATGGCCAACGAAGACACAGAAATGAGACCTGACAATTTAGAAGAACTCCTTGAGGAGGAAGGAGGCCTGTGGTTCTTGCCGAGGTCTTGGCAAGACGGAATAGATGAGGTTTCTGATATCTCAGAGTATCATGGTTTTGCAGTTGGAGTCATGAAAAGGGTAGAATTTGAATTCGGACGTTTCTACTTGTTAGTATTGGGGTTGTATTTGTCAATCTTTTCCTTCCTAGTGATGACACAGCGCGCTGTTGGCGTTGGAAAAATCAGCAGACAGTCGAAAGTATCTATCTCTCTTCGGTTTTTTCTTCGAATCTTTGTAACACATGGTATAGTTATTGCATTTGCGTGGTGTGCTTTGAAAACGGTYGAAGACTCAAATTGGGCTAAATCTATTCGAAGCCGAAAACTGTATCGTATTCCTGTCTCCGACGTGAACGATCCGGCACCCAGTACCATACCACACACGATGGATATTCTTTTCGTCCCCCACTATGCGAGTGATTATTTGGCTTCTTATGCCAGAGTTGTTGATGTTGTACACCCTGGAAACCTCTACTGGAAAACAATCACGCAACAATATTCAGCCGCATATCATAATCTGCCCATTGGTACCAAAGACCTATTCTGTGAAACTCTCCTCGTCGATGTAACAAGAACCCGGCGATTTTTAAAACAAGATGAAGAACGTTTTTGGACTGACATAATCGAACCTGATGAGTTGATCACAGCCTGTCATCGAGAAATGGCGACTTCATTCGATCCCTTGCTGGGAACTATGGTTCGTCAGATTGCCTCACTTCAGAGTGAGACTATTTTTGGAAAGTTTCGTGACACAGCAATGCAGAGGAAGATTATTCCAGACTACCTACGAAAGTGGGACAGAGTTTTGTTTTTGTATGGTTCGAAAAAGACAATTCCAAACCAAGACTTCGTAACAAAGCCTAAAGACGGAACAAAAACAAAAACAATGGATTTAGACAAAGGAATCAAGTCTATGACAAAGATTGAGCTCGTGGCTACAAACAGTGCATCGTCCATTCCTTTGCGAAGTCACAATTGGCCACCACAATTGAAACGTACAGAACCATATCATGGTGCTTGGCTGAAAGAAGGCGATAGAGCTGAAGGACGATTCCGATGCGAAGACGAAGGTAAGAACATCGAAAAGCGAGAAAAGGGACAAGAACAATATCACTGTCTCCATTCATACCCATTCACTTATTTCTTTCCATACTCACTTTTGATAACTTTATGCGCTAGGTGAATGGTTTGCAGGAACGATCACGGCTGCAATTCCCAACGAAGGAACATATGACATTATGTATGATGATGGCGACAACGACGAAGGGCTCTCTAGGGAATGCGTCAACCGTTTGTAGAGATATCCCGACACTGTAAGCAGCAATTGAGGTAGAGAGCTGCACCATATTTGCTCGCCCGAAGCTTTGGACGTACGGATTTCAGAAATTTATTGGTTTGTGTCATGTGTGCGAACAAGACTTGTTTACTTTTCGCTGTTCGGCTTTCCACATCAAGTTCAATAAATGCCGTTTTCTTTAGATTTCATAATAAGAATCTGAATATTGGTAATGCATTCTAATTGGCATACGATCACTCCGTGTACCTATTGGCCATAGTAGTAAAAAATAATGCAAATAAAATGTTCAAAAGCAAATTAGTGGTCAAACTTTGACTGATTTGTATCAAATTCCTTATATATCAAAGCTGATTTTGAAACTTGTGAAGCCTTATATCACTTCCAGTTTTCAAATTTACTCAATTGATATCGAAATAAATCTTGCAAGGTAGAGTTGTGGTTGATTCTTTGTATTATACTTGTGACTAAAGTATTGACTACTAGTACATATGTGCTTGATGGCGACTAAAGAATTGACTACTAGTGCATGTGTGCTTGATGATTTGTGTCACTCTCTAACATTTCTTTTTTACTCTCCAACATTTCTTTCCAGCAGCTACACACAGAGTAACAGCTGGAATGAAAAGTAGTGGTACTAGTACTACTAGTTAATGATGTTGTCATAATACCAGACATGTACCATTGTGTTTTAAAACTTCTCAAAAATGCATGTTATTGTATGATTGTATGATGTTGGCATTCAGGAAAAACATGGTGACTGTATCATGAATTTTTAATGCTGCATTCATACTACATGCATATCAATACATTTCACTACTAGAACCCTCCAACTCCCCTATATGACTAGAATCCTGTTTAAATTTGCTCTCAATTCATGTGCCTATCATACATAAAGTGTCTGTTGGGGACCAAGATATAGCTGTTTGAGTGAGTTGACCCTTACTTCTTAATGCCCTACTCATATGTGTATTTTGTACTGTGCATGGATTTTGGGGCATCTATGGTGGGATGTAAAAATTCAAGCCCAAAATAAGGTCGGTCTTGTAGTAGTAGCACCTGTTGGAGTAGGAATTGCAAAACTACTATTTGKTYACATGACTGGTGGGATTCAGAAATTCAGCACATGCAAACTGCATTACAAGCCATTTTTTAGTCAATGTATTCATTCCACAGAAAGATATGGGCACAAAATCTACAACTGTATTGCAGATTTAAATGTCAACTATAATGCATAGAATGGGTGAGGGAGGGAAGTACAATTTCAGTCTTCTTGCCTTTTTAAATATTTAATATACAGCCTTGAATACCATTTCATTTCATAATCAATTAGCCCCCCTGTGGATTGATTTCTCTGCTGATTGTCTTCCTAAATATTTGCAGTGCAAAGTTGAAACCACCAGAGGATTTGGGAGCAACATGTCATATGGAGTTGGTGCCCAAATCTACAAATCCAATTGTAGATTTTTGGCCCTTATCATTTTGTGTGTAATGACTACTAGTTTGACTAAAAAGCTAAATACTGACATAATGAACATACTCAGTATTAGTAGTAGTAGTGTTGAATCTGAATCCTGCCAGACATATGACCAAATAGTTTGGCCCACGTGCTCAATGGATATTTTTGGCTTGAAACATACTATGCAAAGTTCTWAATCAAGGAACTAGTCTTTAAATGGTTGGTTCTAGTCTTTAAATGGTTGGTAAAAAGAAGATGATAGCCCAAAATCCATGCACAGTAGAAAACACACATAGAAAATCTACTATACTAGTAGGTCAACTCACTCAGATAGATATTTTTCTGGCCCCCAACAGACACTTAATTATGATAGGCACATTAATCAAAGGCCAGTAAAAAGAGGAATATAGTTGTGTTGGGGGCTATTGGGGTTTATTGATTATTACAAGGTACTTCCTCTGTCCGGAATTAAATGTACCTATGACCGTTTTTTGTTGTCCGAAAAAAATGTCCTCGAGTTTAATTAACACTCATGAATATTTTTATTTAACCCCAAGTTTGTATATGATTGAATATGACTGTGTAGAACGCGTAGAATCAGTACTCCAAAGTGGAAATGAGCATGCGTGTGATCAAAAATTATTTTCACACATAAAATTACACGTACTATTAACACAGCAAATGAAATTTTGACAATGGTACKGTGCACCTCTTTCAAACAAGAAATGACCGCACATGAATGTTCTCAATAAGCACAGTAAGCATGTCATAATAAAGCTCTCACTCTCAGCTTTTTATAGCCACCAGTCCCGTATCTAAAYGACTGGTAGAACCSTTTCAACCRGTAAAATGAAAATCAYATGCCAAAATCCGGTCTCTTTAAGTAGTTACACCAAGTACGTCAGACATATTGACTATATTAAATCTTCATGAATGAATAAGTATATAATAGATCTGTTAAGTGCAAAAAGAAGCATTCTAATCGCCCAAATAATGACCTTATTTCAGTCGTAAAGGTGCAAAAGGGACATTTAATTACGGACGGAGGAAGTACTATACAGGGCTGAACATCAAAATTAAGAAATGTGTGATGCAATTGTTTTTTAATGGCAATGCTATATGATAGCCATAAGAGTTGTTAGTTGACTCTCAGTTCATTTTTCTGTATGTAATTTGTACTGTGAGTGGCTTTCAGACCATAGTACGTACATATCCATTGCAGACCACCCATCTTTTGGCTGTGCAACAATGATGACTTATGGGAGAAAAAATCTAAGCCATACCGTTCTGCCCCAGAAACACCCCACCTCTCTTCACCCTGCTACTATCCATTTTCAGAGCTATTTTTGTTGTTGTTGGCACCAACTGTTTTCTGGCTACATCTTGCTTCAGTGGATTACTTGTCATCATCTTTATTCTACTACTAGTTCTTAGTATCCCCCAATTGTGCTGAGGAGTTACTACTAGTAGTATTTAGTAGTCAAGTTCTTTCTCAACTCTGACATGCCACTGTTGGAAAATTGAAATAAGGACCATCAGGGACACAGCCTTTCCCAGACACAGGCACTGCAAAGAAGTTGGCTAACAATGAGAGTCTGCAACTTAATGGCCCTGTAGCAGTAACCATAGACATGCCCCTCCCATAGTACTCATTTATTCTTCTCCAAGAACCCTGAAACCTTTTTGTCTGCTCAAACTAGTACTACCACTACTAGTACTAATATGTACTGCTGTGTTGTCATACTCCCTCCACCAAGCATACAGGAAAATAATTCTTGCAAGTAGTATCTGCACTATGACTCACGCATGCCTCCTGTCTCCAACACATGTCATATCMTACTGCTGTGCTACTAGTAGTAGCATCACCACATTGTTCCTCTTAACTTCTTGACTTGTTCCATTCTTATTTTAGTAGTAGTAGTAGTAGTAGTAGTAGCAGCAGTACTCCTCTGTTTCTTACAGTTCAAACTGTAATTGTGGCTACTACCATGATACACTTCTTGAATAAATTATTAATGTTTTTTATGAAATGCCATCCCCAAGCATAGATCCACCCTGGCCTAGTGGCAAGCAATCACAGTAAAAATTGTTTTTAGTAYTTGTACCAAAGTACTTCATTGAATTATGTGAAAATTAAGAACTAAGTATGTACTAACGTAATTATTATCACTTTGATAGTTCCGCCACGTACGGATGAAAAATTCGGAAATGCTCATGTGCTGGAATTTTATCTAGGAACAATACGGAAAAAACAAGGGCTTATATTTTATCAAAGTACGCACTAATGGAGAACAATTAGAAGAACTTCAATTTATTGATTTTAGSAACGTTATCAATTCTTTTCATGACGTTGGTGACAAGACCATGATAATCCACCAATCAGAAAATAAGGCTGAAGAATTTTTTACTATGGATCCACGTCTCGATGCAACATCTTGTTTCACCATTGGTCAACTTGTTTTCTGTCATTCGTACTGGCGACAAGAATACGTTCTCTTTCAACTTATTTATTGGATGTCATTTTGCACGTCACGGTTTGCCAAGATGCGTCAGACTTTCAAATTCCCCAACGTGATAGAAGGTGTCAACAAAACGAAAACRTTTGCCAATCAAAATCTTCGAGTCACATTTGTGGCTCCGGACGAACCATTCTTCCTAATTTGTTTTTGAACGAGATGGCGAGTAGACTTGATTGTTGTTGACACTGGGCTGTGTATTTCCCAATGCTGGGCTTACGCACGAAGAGGGCGTCAAGGATTGATACCGGCAGTACTTACATGCACGGCCGATAAAGAAAACATCAGAAAAAAGCATTCCAAATCAGAATTTCCATTCCGAAGAAATAATACGGGATCATCATGAACCACAAAAAAAATTAAACCGATTGATGTCAATACAAATAATAATTACATTTACTCCTCACAAAATTTATAACGTGAACAATCATCGTTCATACAAAACAATTAAAAGCCTTCGATTGTACAAAACAACATCAATCATGTCTGCGGTCGACGCTTTCTCATCCAATCTGTCAACCCTTTCCTACCCTAGAACTGGAAAGCGTGGTGTGCCTCAGCAGTTTGCTCGCAGACTGTATGAAATGCTACAGAGCGAGGCAAAAATTGCATCGGATTCCAACAATGGCAACGCATACATCTCTTGGTCAGAATCTGGATTCGCTTTTCGAATCCTTGATGTGGATGGATTCACCACTTCAGTGTTACCTAAATACTTCCGAACAAAGAAGTTCAGTTCCTTCCAGAGAAACTTGAATCTAGTAAGTGCGAAGACTATGATTACAAACTAATCGTGCGCCTTTTTCGGCCATCAATGAACGAGCATGCTCTTACCCAGATCTTTATTTTTTTTACCTCCTGTGTGGTTATTGCAGTATGGATTTTCCAAGGTTCGAAGAGGTCCAGACACCGACATGTACGCACACCAATCATTTATTCGGGGTAAGCCCGAACTTCTCTTAAATCTACGAAAATGCTCATCAGCATCGCGTCGAAAAATGTCAGCGTCTAGTAGCTCTGACAGCTGCGATTCTTCAAGCAGCAGTGCAACGCACCGAGAGAACACATGCCAAAAGGAATCTCCCGTTACATCACCAAGAACCATCACAGATCCTTTCTTACAAGCTTCAAAATCATCTTCGAAACTTTTAAGTTACGACCAAAATACGAATCAAACTTGGTTGTCCTTCCACCATCAGCATTTGATGCCGAAGACGACATATTTACCCAAATTGCCTGTCAAGCAACCGCAGGCAAGTGGTGCTGGAAGACTTGACCTTTTGGCCCTGGCGGTTGAACATGCCTCTTTCTAGCCTGTTAAACATAATCGCAAGGCCATCGGTTTAAATAAAACCCACTCTCTCCATACCAACGCTATACCATTGATCGTCAACAAAATCATCATCCTTTCGATCACTTTCTCTTTCAAATATCTTCATCGCTAAACCACGAATCACCCTCTCTCAAAGGTCATCATTGCCTCGGTCACTTGTCAAAATAATTTCATCATCAATACTATCATCCTTCACCAAGACATCATACCTCCAATAACATGTCACAATAACACCGCATGTCACGACTGGAAGCAACCTAGTCCTTTACTGCATATACTAATAAGATTTGTCTAGAAGCTTACCACCTCAAAGAGCTACTCTTATAATACGAAATCACTCTAATTTTTATGATCAGTGTCTTTCAGAATATTATGATTCTCCCTTAAATACAGCGAGCGCAATYGATTTCATTGTTGTTGGCTTTCTACAAGTTGGACAAGAAGCGTTTTTTCCAAGCCATCTTTTCCACTGAAATAAACAAGAAAAGACATCGAGAGACAATTGATACATCGAGTTAGTATTGAAATATGACTCAACCATTCGTATCAAACGTTTCCATAAACAAACCTATCAACCCCACAGCACGCAAGTAAGTTACTACAAAAACAATAAATCATATCGCCGACAGATTTACTTACACATTGCAAGCATGCCATGTGCCCACACTCGGATATATACACATTCTCCAAAGGCATATCGCATATCCCACACGTTACATCCTTCGGTGCATTTGTGGGGAAACTAGTTCTTTTCATCTTTTTTGTTTGGCCAGCAAAAGTGTCAGCTCTGGATTGAATCAGGATGGATTTGAGTAGTGACGGCGACGACATAACAGCTGGTGCGTCTTTTCGTTGCTCAAGGATCCCCTTTCTCTTGGTTAAACTTATGTTTGGTTTCCCATGACCAGTAATACTACCTGCAGATTTGGTCGGATTCTTCGTAGTGCTTGGTTGCGGCCGTTTCTTTCGGTTGGGCTTTGCGTATGGATTGTTCACTGCTTTCATCTTGGTAGAAACTTGGGAATTCGACCGAGAATCCACTTCACTTTTCAAAGTTTTAGATCTATGGATTTGACTTTCGGGTTTCATAGAAGTAGAAGAGGTAGCATGTTCCCCACCGTCCTCGTCTTGAGTAGTGGATAAGCTCTTACCCTTCTCAGTCAGATAGTTTTTCCGAAAGTACTCAACCTTTACGCTATCCTCCCCCATACGAGCCTTTTCTCCTGCTCGAATCTTCGACACATTGGAAGATGCTATGACTTCCTCTATCAATGCTTTGGACAGTCGCTGTAGTTCATAGGGCACAACATCAATTAACTGTGTCAATGCTAATGTTGTAACTCTGTGGGATTCAACGATGTTGCCGATGAGTTTGCCAAGATTCTGAACAAAATGCTCGTCATTCTTTCGCGAGCTTTCTCCAAACCAAGCCTTCTGCAATAACATTACAAACTCCATGTGGAATTTCATGTACTTCTTAGAAACAACATTCGACTTGAGTTCCTTCCGTATAATTGATTTGCGGAAAGTCAGGTCGACCGTAACTTGTTCCACATCCTTCACAAAATGTTTCGGGATGAGTTTGAGAAGCAAAAGAAGAATCTTGGGTTTTTTGTACCTGGAACAATTGTTCAATTGCTCATGGTTCAAAATTATACCGATTATCGAACGAGCTGCGCATATGAAGTCTTTTCGAAACTTCATTTGTTCATACTTTTTCAAAAGTATTGTACTTTTTTTAATTGAATCAAATTCATCCGGAGTTGTTGACGACTTGACCAGGTGAAAGAATTGCACAGCAGTGGAAACTGGAGGGTTTTTTCCGCTGATAATCTTTGGTTTGTGCTTATCACTAGTTGATGATGGCTCTGATGGCTTCTGTACAGGGTTTGGTTTTATTTTTTGAATGGATTTTGCGGATGATGCGGCAAGAGCACTCGATACATCTTCTTCTGACATTTTATCCATATCCACTCGCACGATGATTCGTTGAGGATCAACATAATTTTCATCATTTGAAACTGTATTTTCCCCGCTTTCTATCGCGACAGAATCTTTTCTGATGAAGGCAACCTTTGTAATATCGTCATCATTTGCCATTGCTTGCAACTGATCGTTTTCTTTCCCTTCATCTTCGTATTTCAAGATAATTGAAACATTCGTCGGGTCCGCATTAGCGGATTGCTGTGCAATCGCTAATTCTGCTTCTTTTTTTGCGTTTTCTCTCGCCTTGATGTAAAATTGAGCTAGATTTTGGTTTGCTCGTCCAAAACCTTCATCGGGAAGGATATGCGGTCTGACCCACTTGCTCAGACCATTTTGATTACCTGGAAGTCCAAAGCGAGAATCCATCAATAGTACTGCACCATAATCACGTTTGTTACGAATTACACGACCGATTGCCTGATTTACAGCTCTATGTGCTTGTTGTGTATACCAATCATGCCCTGACAAAGAAGAGTTCGYATTTGTTTCACCACGGGATCCAAAGCCACCATTGGTTGATGCTTTGGTATTTTGTTTCGCTTTTTTCTGGTCGAGAAATTCTCGTTTCATCTTGACTTTCGGATCAAACGAAGGAGCAAATGGCAACCCAGTAATAATCACAGCTCGACACATGTCGTGCGAAAAATCAATACCCTCACTAATCTTTCCACGACAAACCCCAAACAGGGCAACGCCTTTCGAATTGGGTAAGTTGAGGAACTTGTGAAACTCATCAATTGCATCTGGAAGATCTGACGTGGATCTTGGTTCGACAACAACTGCCTTGTGTGAGAGAAGCCGCTTCCACGGTGTCGAATGTGTCTGGTTGTAACCTGTAGCTAACCGCGGAAAGGAATACCGAGTAGTATTCCCAGACCCACCACCATTCTTCTTTYTTCTGGCGGCAAAAAAATTACCCGGATTATTGGTATTCTGAGATCGAGATGATGCTGGTCCTCCCCACCGCTCAATCGACGTTTCCATAACCCCATAACTCGGGAAAAAAACGAGCATCCCACAAGGKATCACACGAGATAAGCTTGCCAAAGTATTGCCCAATTCAACATAATAATCGTTATTTTGACGTCGCTCATATGAACTAGTGAGTACTTTATTACTGACTCCACGCCCCATCACCCTGACGTGGATTTGATGAGGGGCAATGATGTGAGGATTTTCCAAGCGATTGGGAAACGGAATGTCCAGTTCTAACGCATAACTCTCCAAAGGGCTCAGGGTCCCGGATGTCACAAGAATTGACCGCACGTTCAAATTTGCAAGTTCCCTCATGGCCTCGGATGGAGCAAAGCACCAATAAGAAAGTATTCGACCACCATTACCGGCCTTCTCGTATTTCCCTTTTGATCCTGACGTTGTGTTTAACGCCACATTGTTATTTGTTTGAGTTAGATGAACTCGATATGACTGTGCCTTAGCCAAACACCGAGACTCAGTCGTTTCCCCAAAAACTCGTTTGACACATTGAGAAAAGTGCTCTAACATAGGTGCACCTTTAGAGTTACCTCCCCGTATCTCCATAAACATGTCGAAGATTTTTTTAATTTCATCCAACACTAGTGTGTAGTTATTGTAGTTCACACTAGCTCCTTGCCGAAATATTTCCATGATTCTTTCTCCCTGATACGCTGTGGATTGTTGTGGCAATTTTTTCAAAAGGTATTCTTCGAGGTTAAGAAACAGAGTTTTAAGTCGCAACAAATTTTGGGTTTTGATGTTCATAAATCGATCTGGATAAGCCTCGCTCAAAGCCAAGGCCTTATCGATCTCGTTCATACAACCTGCGATATCCTTTGAAGAGAGGTCGAAGGAAGCCGATTCACTCGCAAATGATTCTAGATTGTGTGCCTCATCGAATATTACTACGGAATTATCCCAAGGAATATCTGCCAGAGTAGTTGCCCGTGAATCTTTGTCGAAGAGGTAATTGTATGGCAGTAAGACTAATTCAGCGTCTTCTGTCTGTCCTCGCGTGTAATAGAAGGGGCATACTTGATGCGTTTTCCCCATTGTCACCAAATCTTCCATATCCATCACGGGCTGAGTTCCGTGCCAAGCACCCTGAGAAGAGGACTCATTTGATGGCGCCTTGAAGCCCTCTAGWTTGTTTTTGAATTTGCAGCGTCTATCTTTGATGAGGACAGAACAATCGTGATTGATGGCAGAAGCATTCGAAGTCCCATTAGGTTTCTTGACCTTGGGATTAACACACATTTGTTCCCTCGAACCTAGAACAGCATGCTTTGGTCGGTAACGCGTATTGCGGAGTTCTCGAACGACCTGCGAGAGCTGAGAATGGGTTCGGGATGCGTAAATGATGGTAGGGACTCTCCGTTTTCTTTGGTTTTGTGTTTCTTGAGCTGAAGAAGATGTCAATCCCGGTTGCGTCGCCGCTGGTATCGTGTCACGTCCACTCTGTGATTTCAATATTCTTGCTTGCTCTCGTTGCCATGCCAGCGTAGAACACAACAGGCAGAGAGTTTTCCCTGTTCCGGTTGGAGATTCGAGAAGCGCATTTTCCGACCGAATGAGGGCATCTAAGACTTTTGCCATGTAATCTTCCTGGCATTTGTAAGGCTTGAAAGGGAAATGAATCGATATGCCTCTCAGTTCCACTGTAGTCGGTGGAGTAACCGCAGGAGTGACGGATCTCTTAGCTTCCGACGATGACGCCGACGCGCCCGGCCCGGTGATGTCACGAGCGTCATTCTTCCTGATCCCTGAGCTTGCTCGAACGGCTTTCATGTTGTCTGAAACTGACTATTGTTTGCTCAGAGTAACCCCGATTAGGGGAAAACCGCCATTCAGAATCAATGTACTACCGTTACGATGCTATGTTGATCCTTGATCGAAGAGAGGGAACCGGTCGCTTTCGAGATAAAGAGAGACTCCCACCTACGTACCGGTCAACGGCAATACGATATGGACGAGCAACAGTACCTACGAGTACGTACACGGACCGCTACGACTTTTGGCTCCTCGTTGGACTGCTGGTCCTGGCCATCGCACGAAAACTTCTGAAATTTTGGCGCGCTCGTTTGACTCGGTTTTCGAAATGTCTCGCGATGGCATACGAGTATCGTATCCTTTTCTCACGCATGATCTTTGTTCATGCGCAAAATTTTTCCCTACCGGCTTGTACGCATCGTACGGTACAGTAGTTTGATCGCACTTTCTCCCATCCATGCCATGCCATCCCAGTCCCAGTCCCAAAATAAAATGCATCAGTTCGTACCTTACAGCTGTACGTTAATGACATATCTTATGTGAAGTACAGTACCTTACGGTACTGTAGTATGGAAAATGGATAATGGATGCAGTGAATGTCAAAAATGATGCGATCACTACTTCCCCTACGGTACTTTTCGTTGCATAAGAGTCCTTAGCTAGTTCCATCCGACATTCCACCAGACCGCCATGTACTACTTTACTGCTGTCTCCTTTAGGAGTACCAGGCACGGTAGTACTAAGTACGTACGTAAGTACGTAAACCTGGTTCGCACTTGAGGAATTGGGACTGAATATATGTATATATGCTATACAACATATGAACATATTTCACATAATTCAGCCTGTCGCGTCGTTAGAACGCGTGCAGAAAAAATGTACCGTACAAATTGATTCATAACAAAGAACATGAATCGCACCGCTCGGTTCATAGTACCGGTATGTACGTATGGTACTCGTAGGCTGCGAAGTTACGAATTGTGCAATGAATTTCGGGTAAGGTCCGTCCCTCGTCCGTAGTTGAAGTATCCTGTGTTTCGTCATGCTTTTTCTCTGCTCATCCTCTACAAAAACTACAATCCGACGTTTGGCAGAATTCGCTTCTCATAATCTTTACGGTGAGTACAATGATGAGAAGTAGTATCGACCGTGTACGAACTGTTGATCTAAAATAGAACGTAGATTGTAGATTGAAGACAATGGTTGTGTGAGCTGGTCAACAAGCTGATTGGAATGCCGATCTTGGAAATTAACCAGGGTTGCTGTGGTGGAAAAGTATATTTCTTTTTTTGAGCGAGTTCTTCCCTGTCGTATTATTATTCACCTTTGCCTTCTTGGTTTTGATCTTTTTGTTTGCAGATATCAAAAAATATATTCAAAATGAAGTCTGCCATCTTTGCCTCCCTTATTGCCTCCGCGGCTGCTTTCGCCCCTGCTCAACAGGCCAAGTCTTCCACCGCCTTGAACGTCAACGAACTCGAGATCGGTGTCACCGCTCCTTTGGGAGTTTACGATCCTCTCGGATGGTTGGAGTCTCAGCCTGAGTCCTTCGAACGTCGTCGTGCCGTCGAGCGCAAGCACGGACGTATTGCCATGGCTGCCACTGTTGGTGTCATTGTCCACAACAACCACATCGTCTTCGATGGATACCTTTCCCCTTCCCAAAACCTCAAATTCTCTGACATCCCTACCGGAGTTGACGGAATTCGTGCCATCCCCAACGCCGGACTTCTTCAGATCCTTGCCTTCTTCGCCCTTGTCGAACTTGCATGGATGCCTGCTTCCCAATACGACGGAGACTACGGAGTTGGTTGGTTCGGAGAGAACCTCAACCCTGAAGAAAAGACCCGCAAGCTCAACGCCGAGATCAACAACGGACGTGCCGCTATGATGGGAATTATGGGTAACATGGTTGTCGAATGCATGACCGGACAAACTATGTACGAACAATACTCTGCTGGACACATCTCTCCTTTCGGAGATGGTGCCGGTGCCTTCTAAGCACTCATCTACGAGCTATGGATATATTTTTTGATCACTAGAGCAACATAGTTTCATCGGAACTATTTGGTTTGTAACTAATAAATGCCAATCTTGCCTTTGTAAAACACACGGTGTCTAGACTACTTTCGTGCCTATGCGTTTGCGTTGTATCGAATGTTGAAGTACACAATATCTGCGTCGTACAGTGCTAATAGTCTTGGTTACGGTCACCCAGAGATTGATCTAGATAGTATTACGATGTCAGCGAGAAAAAACATGGTTCAGCTAGTGCTAGTACCCTCTGTACAATCTTCACAATTTTCGCCTCAAGAGCTCGTTTTACTAGCAAATTTATTGGTCGCGAAACATAAAGAGTCGAGCTTCTATTTCTCTCTTCATCTACTACAAAAGCGAGGAAATTAATTTGGACAAACGCTCACATCGTTCATCGGCGAGAGAAATGGTGTATGACTCCGAGAGATGTATTCCATTTCGCATAGACTGATTTTGTCTGTGTTACTTAAAACATTCCCTCGTTGCCCACCCTCCATGGAGGCCAGTAAACAAAAACAGCTCTTCCGATCACGTTTTCTTTCGGTAGAAAACCCCAGATATGCCCATCCAAACTGTGATTGCGGTTGTCGCCAAGAACCAAGACATTACCAGGGGGGACAACGACTGGACCAAATTCGTATTCGGCATCTTCAGCTGTGAAAGGTTCGTCCTGTTCGTCACCGTTTACATACAATTTTCCCATTTTGACCTCAACCTCGTCACCCTAACGGAAAAGGAGATGCAGCAGCACACACAAAACATGTTTGAGCAGACGCTTCAAGGTCGATTTGTCACATCCATATCCAAAAACAAAGTGACGTACCTCAATAGCCACAATTCGCTTGATAAGTGCTTCCCTAGCACGGGCCGCATTTTGGCCATATTTGTCTACCATGATATCACGAAACGACTGCGGAGGATTGAATACGACCACCTCATCCCTGTACAATGGTTTGATTCTTTTCGTGACTTTTTCAACTGCTAGTTGATCACCAACCTCAAAAGTAGGATACATCGACAGCGAAGGAATGTATCGTGGCTCAACGATTGTAAATCGAAGCAACAGGGCAATCCCAAGGCTTACGAAATATGTCTTGACGTCGTCTCTTCCTTCATCGGAATTCCACCAATCTCCCAATTGATCAACAAATGAGGGACCATTGTTCTTTTCGGACATAAATAGTTGCACATTATTGCGTGTTTGCAAGCTGGGCTTCGATTGCTTTGTTATCCGATGTGGTGACAGTGATACGAACGATGCGGGTGCTTGACACTGAAATGCTTCGGACGTGTGGACTGCACTAATCATTACACCAAAAAGGCAGACGAAGTAGTAGCCGTAATTATACATATTTCAAAAGATTTCCGTGTATGCACGTTCCAGGAATAGATTGATGGCGAGTAGGAATTTCTTGTTTCCTCAATATTAATGTTGCTGTGCAAACGCAAATGCCAATAGGAGGGAGTTCTTCTCAATCCAACGGCACCACCCGCACAAAATTGCTTCCAACAATCCTATAGCGATTAATAAATACGTTGTATGCAACTACGGTCGAGTTACGTCCGCAGTACTTGTATGATACACTGGTCTTGCAAGAATCCACAGAAGTAATCGGAATGAGACGATTTTCAAATCGAAGGTTGATAAAAAATCMTACCGTACGGTACGGTATGATCGACACGTTGCTACCGAAGAGATTGGATCTATCTCATACCTGGACGACATTGAACATCACGTTTGGTCTCAGCAGTATTATTATTTTTTCTCAATGAAATGAAGGCCTTCACGCAGTTAAAACCATGCCAACCAAACGTCAGAGGTTTTCAGCAGACTAGTCGAGTTAGTCATATTCACGGACGATGGAAGGACTCCGCGATCTTCTCAAAAGTTGAAGTCAATGATGATTTACAGATTTTTACAGATTTTCTCACGACAAAATCAAAATGCCAAAAAGTCGATGACAAGAAGAAATTGCTTTTCTTCTGCATCGAAAACGACTTCATCCCGATTCTTATATTTCTTACTGCCAATAAATAAATCTAATTTTCCAAAATGAAGACTGCATCCATCCTTCTTTCTCTTGCTGCTTCGGCCTCGGCCTTTGCTCCTGCTGCTACGAACTCTCGTGCTTCCGTTGCTGTCCAAGAATCCAAGGCTGACCTTGAAGCCTTGGCTGGAGACCTTAACCCTATTGTCAAGTTCTATGATCCTTTGAACTTGGCTGAAGCTGAATTCTGGGGAACCTCGAACGAAGCAACCATTGGCTTCTTGCGTCATGCTGAGATCAAGTGAGTATGCATAGTGTGCAATAGAGATTTGAAATGATCGAAGAAACGAGGTTCAACGTATGAACATAAGGATACTGGTCTCGGGCGTCCGCTCTCTTTTCGTAGGTAGTAGATACCATTGTTCTTCGCYTCCGCGAACTCTTTCTTTTTCTAATGGTATCTTTTTTGGTCGTTTCCTCTTGATCTGATCAGGCACGGACGTGTTGCCATGTTCGCCTTCGTTGGATACATTGTCCACGCAAATGGAATCAAGTTCCCATGGGCCATGCAAATGGATGGAACTCCTTTCCCTACCTCAACCAACCCACCTGAACTTTGGGACCAAGTCAGTGACAGCGCTAAGTGGCAAATCTTGTCCCTCGTTGCTTTCTTGGAATTCTGGTCGGAACTCAGCACACCAAACCACACCCATTACATGGCAGGAGGAAAGCCCGGTGATTACCCTGACTTCGTCTCTGGCGCCGATGGTATCCCCCACCCAGTTCCTTTCAACCTTTACGATCCTTTCAAATTGAGCAAGAACAAGAGCGACGAAGCCAAGGCCCGTGGTCTTAAGGTCGAAATCAACAATGGACGTCTTGCTATGTTGGGTATCTTCGGTTTCCTTTCAGAGCAAACCATCCCTGGATCTGTCCCTGCCCTCAGTGGAATTGTCCAACCTTACAGTGGTGAAGTCATGGCTCCCTTCTCGGAGAATGTCTTGGGCATGCCTTTCGGCATGTAAATAGTTTAGTACGCTAATAGCTTTGCACAAAAATGTGCATTTATCACCGAGACTCCTTGTTCTGGAATGGACGCGAGTTGCACACCAACGGACCACGTTCCCCGCAATTTGCGAAGAAGAGTTGAGTTTCTTGCCAACTGATTTTGACAAAGCATCATCAACCAATTTACTGGCAATTCGATTTACTTTTACTCTAGAGGTACTCAAGTCGGGTAACAAAATAACATAAACTCTATTGTACTATTCTACTTTTTGGGTCTACTTTCGCACGTACTTCAGATGTGAAAATGAATTAGAAAGTCTGAAGAGATGGTTGTGCGAATCTTGTTCGTCGTCATTGTGTCCCAATCTAACCATTTCCAAAAAATGCTTCTTCTTATACTTTTAAGTCTTCAATTTCCTATTCATAATCATTGCATTTATCGCTATCACTGTAACTATCAGTTGAGGAGTCATCTGAGTGATCGGTTAGAAATTTGGCAACGAACTCTGTATTGACGTCTCCCTCTTTCTCGCTGAACAACGCAAATACATCTTCAATTAGATCCTTTTGCCTGGATTGCTCAATTTTCTTCATTGTCTCAATTAGACAATCGCGATAAATATTTTTTGCTTTGGACTCTGCCTCGAAGTGTAGTTCACCACGCAATATCTGTTGTCGATAGCGAGGTATATGTTCGTTCTTGAGTTTCTCACTTGTCGCTAGAAGTCGGTCCTTTTCGGATTGTAACTTCTCAGAAGCTTTTTTAAGAACTTCAAGATGGCCAGCAACGTCTCGATTCGCTTTTTCCATAGTTTGGTTGGCAATTTTCAAGTCTGCAATTTCCTTCGGTAACTCCTTCAGAGTATCACGAAGTATCTCATTTGCGGAGCGATATTCATCAATCCATCGTTGGTTTTCATCGACCTCCTCCTGATATTTTTCAAATACTTCAAAATTTTTATTTTTTTGGGTGTAGATCACTTTCATAATACGAAATCTTATTGCTTCTTTTGCCTTCTTGAGATCTTGATCCAACTCTTTTAATTCTTGATTTGAGACAACTGTCACCCTTTTGAGCTTCTGTTGTGTCTCCTCGAGTTGTTTCCGAAGCTGCATCACCCTCTTACTCGGTTTCTCATTCGCAATCATCTTATTATGGTTCTCTTCTCGCTCCTTTTGGCGCAGATTTCCATCCGTAATATGTTTCTGCTTTCCCCCCTTCATCTTAGTTTTCTCTTTCTTGGGTACGTCAGTTTGTTTGATTGTAGAGCGTTCTGACTCTGTCGTGCAATTCCGTTGTGATCCTCTTTTACGAGAAGAACTTGGGCGCTCTGTAACCAGTGTAATGCTAGTTGATGGTTCAATTTCTCTCTTCTTCACTGCCGGTTTCAGAATTTCAGCTTTATTTTTATAGACACTTCCTGGCGCTTTCGWTCGGATCTCCTGACCTTGTATCGGTGCTCTGGAAGCTGATCGCCTAATGGTATTATTCTTTTCTGCTCTTTCATCCATTCTTTTTCGTAACACTGCATTCTTGAGCTCCATTTCTTGCTTTTTCATAGATGAGATGACACTTTCATTATCTGATTTCTTATTTTCCGCTTCCAATTCATACGCACTATTGTCTGCTTTGCACTCGAAAGATTTTGACTTTAGATCTTCTGACAGAGACCTTATCAATGATTTTCGAACGGAGGAACTAGGCTTCGTAGAAAAACTCGAAGGCTTTCGCAATGAGCCTCGAGGAATAGGAGCTCTTGATAAAGCCTTCTTATTAGCAGCTTTTTCTTTCGCCTGTCTTGTGGGACCGTCTTCAATCGCATGATCCACTATGGCGAGGATATCTACCTTCGGTAGCCCCGAGTTTCTACCCTTGAATACTTTTCGAAAGCCTTCTGAATCTGATTCGTGTGCGACAATATTGTTGCTGACATTGATATTTCTGTAAGATTGCCCCTTATTATTTGCTTTAGGTGCTCCTATCTTGTTCACAGTCGCAACATTTTTCATGCCATTGCCAGCAAAGACACTCGGCACGCCGCTTCCAACTGAAAATGGCGATGTCCGTTCTTTTTCCGAAATCAGCATGGCGACGAAGCATAGAGGTCACTATGGCACCCACTAATAAATACGGAAAGATTTGGCACTTTCCTTTTTGTGAAGAACTGTGGTCATGCAGGGAAGAGCATGAGATACGCTGGGTAAGCTATGATAAGGTTGTTTTTGTGGACTTTCCATTTCATCGCGCTTTTGAAACTCAGGTTTTCAAGTTTCACCAAAAATCGTCTTGAATTGAATAATTATTTCAGTCTTGCTTTCAATAAGTATTTTACTGTACTACGAGTAGACGTACTTTGTAGAGCACAAAATTCGAGTACGAAAAGCACAGCACATATTTATTTTTATTTGATGGCCGAAGAATTTTTCGAAGAAACGCAATCGGACAGTATTACCCAGTATTGTTTTCATGGCCCGAAGTCCCAGTATTATCAAAAAGCCCGTTGCAGTCATTGTGTGACCCCGTCACTAATACATTCGACAATGAAAGCACTACCGGTATTACGTACAACTATCCTTATTCTCGCTCCAGCCAGCACAAGACCTCATGCCTCCAGAATTAATAATAGCAGAATGCCGCGAATACCTGCTGGTCAAACCGATTTTTTCGAAAGTACAAAGTATTGCTTCAAAAATTTGTTGTACAAGTAACTGGATAGAAAATGATTATATTTTCATATTACTCCCGAGCATCCGATTTCCTACTTTTAAGGTGTTCAAAGAAAACTTGAGGTCTTCTACTACTGCGATTTCTGCATGCGAGTTTTCTTCCTCACCAAACCGTCCACCACCCTTGCCGTTTATTCCCTCTCTAACAAAATAGTTAGCGCATTACTTCAAAATTCAATGGGAAAAAATACTCGTAAAGTAACAAATTGATCTTGGCAATACGACATATATATCTGTGAACAAACACAGGATGAACGTGCTCTCCTCTACGGTTCCTGCCGCAATTTCTTTGTAGAGCAACGAAGAGGAGTTGAATGATGGATTGCAGGTAAAGGGTCATTGCATCCCTTGAAAATAGTCTCCATGTTATGAGAATATCATACCGGAAGCTATTTCTCGCGTCGTAATGACTTAAGCGTTTGGCGGATGCTACGATTTCACTTTGCGATATAGTTTTGCAGTGCTGGGTCCCCAGCTCATCTGGATTGGCACATTTCGTTCTTGCCATTCTTCACCTTCAAGTTGGAGGATCGTGTCCAACCGATTTAGGGCCGCAATGACACGGATCTTCGGTAACTTCAACAAAATCTCTTGAATTGTAAGGAGTACATTCTTTGGAAAACACAGAGAAGAAATATAGACATGTGTGGTCCTCGTGTCTAAAACCACTTCTGTAGCATCTCCATGGATGAGTTCGATGGGAAAATGGGGCATAGCATCCCCACCGCTGTATAACCCATCGAACCTTTCGACAAGGTCTTCTCCTATGATCCCTTTCAAGGCGTTGATCCCGATCTCGTGTCTACCCTCTGACAGTTCTATACCGACAGATTTTTCCACTCTATCAGGTTGGTCAATATACATTTGAGTTACAAGTCTTCCAACTCCCGAACCTAGGTCGTAGAATACAATTCCGCCGCCGTCGTCTTCGTTATAATTGTATTCGGCATTGGCGTCATCGAATCTGTTTCTTCGGTCCTCGCCACCATCGCAGTTTGCTATGCCCATTTCATAAGCTAGTTGCCGCACCCCCAATGCTGTCACCTCGCCATAAGTCAAGTAGTGGGGTTGAGACTTCAAATGATCGGCTTCTTCACTTTTGCTTTCGAAAAGCGCTTCATCGATGCCATCTTCTGGTTGCCAGAAACGGCCAAGGATCAAGTCGTTTCTATGCCATCGTTCAAGATTGGAATTGCAGTTTGCAGTCACCGGAAGGACATTTGCCGCAAGAGTAAATGTTCGATCGCTCTGACCATTGACCACCAAGCAACTGAAGCTAGCAAGTGGATCGCATGGAAGGGAAGCTTGAAAACCAACAGAAAATTGATCTTCCATCAAGTGTGATTTCAATCGGCAGTTGGCCCTAATATTACAGGTTGGGACAGGAACGAGTTTTTTTAATGCTACGAGTGCCGTTCCAAGTTCTGAAGTTTACCAAGATGCATTGGAGAATACAGCTGCATATCAATCCTATTGGATAGAGGAAAGAATAAGAAAGAATGTAGAATGAATGGTGTGCAGATGGAATGCGAAGAATAAGGATGTYGACGATCTTCGAATGATGTTGTTCAATACCGTGAAGAATGAAGATTCAGGATTCCGCAAGTTAGAGCGTGCAATGTATCCAGTAGTAGTACAGTACGGTAC